TTCTTTAGAGATGCCAAAGCCGCTGCCTTTGTGGGAGGAAAGAGAGAGTTCAAAACTGGCATTTCCTAATCTTTAACCCGTAACCTCTCCCTCCCTCCCCTTCCCTTCCTTTCTTAGAACTATGACATCCTAGCAATAGGATACAAGAAAAGCAGACATAAAGATTTAAGAACAGTCCTAGCTGTTCTGGCTCAGTGGATAGAGTGTCAGCCCGCAGACTGAAGAGTCCCAGGTTTGATTCCAGTCAAGGGCACAAGGTTGTGGCTCGATCCCCAGAGGGGGTGTGCAGGAGGCAGCTGATCCATGATTCTCTCTCATCACTGATGTTTCTATCTTTCTCCCCCTCTCAGAAATCAATAAAATAAATATTTAAAAAAGATTTAAGGATATAACTTAAACAGACATGTTCTATTAACTCAAATATCAAATCCCAGTTAATTTGATGAGTTTATTCTTTTTGGCTCAAAAACATTTACTTGCTGACAATGCCAACAGGAACTGGAGCCATTTCCTAAACACATCTCCAACCATCACCAGGCCTGGCTCGGACAACACTAAGCCACAACAGCCCCTCCGGCCCTCTCTGAAATCCAGTCACAGCTCTTCTGGAAAAGAGTAGCGGCAGACACTCACAGGCCTTTCTGAAGCTCGACATCTATCTTTGATTTTATGTCCAGTTTCTCAAGTCAGTCATGCTATCTTTTCCCTCCAGCATGGGTGCTACTTACCTTCACTCTAGGGTTACCCAACAATCCAAGAAAATTAAAGGAGGCAAAGTTTATACATTCTTTTCCATTCACCACGATGCTGTGGCTTGGAGGGCTGGGAAGAGAGATGAGAAGGATTCACTCAGCCAACACTTGTTACAGCACACACGCCCCACACTACGTGGCAGCAGACAGGACACAGTGTTGTTACTCTACACTACTTGTGCACTGGTCTTCCAGCTCCTGTACTGCTTATTTTTAAAAAGTAAAATTAGACAGTGGTGTATTAAAATCATATCCTTGGCCAATAATTCTTAATAGGTTACCCTGTACACTTCAGTTAAGAAGTTAGAATTTCAAGCTGGGACCGGTTTGGCTCAATGGATAGAGCATCGGCTTGGGGACTGAAGGGTCCCGGGTTCGATTCTGGTCAAGGGCATGTACCTTGGTTGCGGGCATATCCCCAGTAGGGGGTGTGCAAGAGGCAGCTGATCGATGACTCTCTCTCATTGATGTTTCGAACTCTCTATCTCTCTCCCTTCCACTATGTACAAAAATCAATAAAATATATTAAAACAAAACAAAACAAAAAAAAAACAAGTTAGAATTTCAAAATGGATATATGGCAAATTTTTGTTTTGATTTTACAATTCACTGAAGAAAGAATAGCTAACCCTGGCCGGTTGCTCAGTGGTTAGTGTTGGCCTATGGTCCAAAGGGTCAAGGGTTCAATTCCCAGTCAAGGGAACGTACCTTGGTTGCAGGCTCTCCAGCCCCAATAGAGGTATGTGTGGGAGGCAATGTGTCTCTTTCACACTATTTCTCCCTCTCCCCTTTCTCCCCGCCTCCTCCCTCCTTCCACTTTCTTTAGAAATCAATGGAAAATATATCCTCAGGTAAGGATTAAAACAAACAAACAAAAAAAAAGAATAGCTAAATAAAGTACCTCAGACTCAACCACTGAGCAACAGCAGCTGGGATGGATATCCTATGTAATATTGAGATAATATGCAAACTGACCATCACAACTTTGCACAAGATGGTCATCACATGTGGTCACAAGATGGCTACCAGAAGATGGCTGGTATGGTAGGGCAGTTGGGGGTACCAGGCCTGCAGGGGAGGGCAGTTGGGGGCAACCAAGCAAGCAGTTGGGGGTGACCAGGCCAGCAGGGGAGCAGTTAGGCATCCATCAGGCTGGCAGGGGAGTGATCAGGGGGTGATCAGGCTGGCACACAGAAGTGGTTAGGGGCAGGCAGGCAGGCAGGCAGGCAAGCGGTTGGGAGCCAGCAGTCCCAGACTGTGAGAAGGATGTCAGATTGCAGGTTTAGGATCAGGCCTAAACCGGCAGTTGAATATCCCCCAAAGGGTCCCAGATTGGAGAGGGTGCAAGCTGGGCTGAGGGACCACCCCTCCCCCCCAAGTACACGAATTTCACGCACCAGGCCTCTAATATGTATATGTATATGTATATGTATATGTATATGTATATGTATATGTATATGTATATGTATACGTATTAAAGCAGCGGTCACCAACCGGTAGTCCGTGAGGTCCAAAAGGTTGACGACCGCTGTATTAAAAGGAACAGAGTGCCCAGCTCCACAGGAGCACGCATCTGAGTGTGGCTGGGACAGGACAAGTCCTTTGCTGACAAGCACTAGCTGTAGGCCATGCAGAAACAGAGGGCCAAGCTACAGGTCGCAAGCAACTAACCAGTTGTAAGACCAAATGGAGTCAGTCACAATCAACCTATTTTAACTCAAGGAAACCATGGAATAGAACGGAAGGGGACGACCCCAGCAAGGGACATGACTGCCTGGAACTTGTCTCAGTTGCACATCGGCACAGGTCTACATGCTGGGCTGCACGAGGGCCAGAAGAGACTGAGAAACTGCTCTCATTGGTTGTACCAACAGAACTGGTTTTCTTTGAGAAAGGTAACAAAGACGCTGGGAAGCCAGGGGAAGAAATGAAAGACAACTTCAAGTAAATTCACAAAAGCAGATAAAAATTCAGCCATCTGCCCCGTGGCTACTGATGGCTTCAGAAGCTTGTGGATGTTACCTGGGCTTGTAAGCCTCAGTTTCTCCGTCTGTAAAATGGGGAGGGAACCTTTTCCTCAAGGTAACTGTGGTTATAAAAGTGCCACAGAGGTGCTCTCTAAATATTATCTTCCTTCTTCCCTGTGGCTTCAAGGCTTCTTTTCTTTCCACCCGCTGGGACTGGGTGTCCATCATGTTATTTAGTTCGATACTTCTCAGGGCTTCAAGTTTCCCCATTCCTCCCTAGCGTGGAGGTTTTGGCACTCACAGAAACACGAGAACACAAAACACCTATACAGACAACCCTATAGTAATAGTTGCTGCTATGAAAGTCAAGCCATTCCACAAAAACCGTGCCACGGAGAAAGCAAACTGTCAAGAGCGAGCACACCAGAGCCCTGAGCACAGGCAAGCGGCCGCAGGCACCTGGTTTCCGTCCAGCACCTGGACAAGGAGGGCAAAGAGCATCCAGTGAGCAATGGGAGCTCCCACTTGTGCCCCATACGGACACCGGACACAGCGGTCCTGGAGAGCAAGACCCTTTGGGGCTGCCTTGCAGAAGGAAGTAAACTCGATCTAGAAAGACAGCTCCACAGTCAAGGCCTCAGAATGGGAGGAAGGAGAAGAAAACCTTCGCACCCCAAACCACAGCCTCACTGTTAGGTCATCTGGATGAGCGAAGGCCCTTGCGGCTCAGTGACGGGGAGAAGGGCGCTCTACCCGAGAGAACAGCCATTGCAGACACCAGCAATGTCAGGTTTGGCGCTGCTGAGAACAGACAACTAGACCAGTGAGTGAGTCTGGAACTCAAGAGAGCTGTGTATACATGAGCACCTGGCGAACAACTAAGCTACACATAGATATTTCTCTATGGAAAAAAATAAAGCTGTATTAGCAGATACAAAGGTGAATTCCAGACATGTCACAGACCATAGAGATATTTGGGAAAAGATATGAAAGAAGACGTAGAAGAATGTCTTTGTGACCTTGGAGTAGGAAATGATCCCAAAACATGCAAACCATGAAGCCGAAAGGGATGAAACTGATTAAGTCAAAATTAAGACCTTTGGTTCAATAAAGACACCAAAGATGAAGCTAACAGGTGTGCAATAACGAGAGTGACTGTATCTCACTGAATCTAAGAGGGCGCCGACTGCCTTTTACCGGCTACCACAGAAGTCACTGAGGCTGGAAGGTCAGGTGTTGTCTTGTCAGCTAGAACTTTTGGCTGTATTTAACGAAAAGATCTGCTGGGCACTCTAGACAGACTTTTGTTACACTCTTCTGAAATGATGGAAAGGAGAATACTAGCAGTTAAATTGGTCAGGACATTCCTAACCTCTTCGCCCACGTTCTGACTGTCTGCTCTCCTCTGCTAGCCACAGCCCCTGTGGCCGGTCACGCTGTCCTGCTGCCTCCGAATACCCAGGCAATGCTTCACAGGTGCTCCTCACCATCTGGCAAGAGGTCACCACTTCAATTCCCGGTCAGGGTACATGCCTGGGTTGTGGGTTCCATCCCAGTGGAGGGCATGCAGGAAGCAGCCGATCGATTATGTTTTTCTCTCTCCTCTCTCTCAATCTCTCTCTCAAATCAATAAAAACATATTTTTAAAAAACTGACTAAGGATTAGAATCCACACAGTTTATGGGACTCTTGTTAATCAAAAGACATACTGGAGATCAGCAGAAAAATGTGAAAGATATCAAGAGGCATTTATAGAAAAGCAAAATTCCAGCAGCTGGTAAATACTCAAAGGCTCAGATAATCAGAGAAATGCAAAATATGCAACCAGCCCAGGCTGTGAGGAAGCTGAATCCCCACAGATGGATGCAGCGGAGCGGCCATGGAGGATCACAATGGAGGGATCCAACAGGCTTTAAAAGGGGACATTAATACAGGGTGTGTTTTTTAATAGTATCTTCATCTTTCTCCCCACGATGGCATTTTAGAACTCAGTTACCTTACACAACAGAAGATGCAACAGTCAGAAGAAATGACAAGGAGGAGCCCAGCACTCCACCTTGCTATGCCTTGCTCCCTATTTCCTCAGACCACTCCATGCCAGCAAACGCTGTATTTATTTATTTGATTGTTGGTCTATCTCAAGAAAACTCAATGTGCTCAGCACATTCCTTAAACATAGTAGGCATTTGCTGAAAAAATAAATGTTGAGCAGAGATCTTGCAAAAAGCCCTAGTCAGTTTGGCTTAGTGGATAGAGCATCAGCCCTCAGACTGAAGGTTCCAGCCGGGTTTGATTCCAGTCAAGGGCATGAATTTTGGTGGAAAGTTCCCTAGTCCTAGTTGGGGTGGGTGCAGAAGGCAACCAATTGATGTGTCCCTCTCACATCCATGTTTCACTCCATCTCTCCCACTCCCTTCCACTCTCTCTAAAAGTCAGTGGAAAAATATCCTTGGGTGAGGATTAACAAAAAACAAAATAAAATGTCAGAATAGTCTGGAGCACAAAATTAAAAAAATACATTCATAAGACATTAAGAATGTATTTTAAACCAACAATATAAATATAAAATGTATCATTTTAATACCATAGAAATGTGTCACACACACAATGCCGATAGAAAACGTGATGAAGTATTGCAGTGGGGTCTCAGTGAAGAGGAGAGGTGGAGGCAGACACCACGGACAAAGGAAGTAGAGAACGAAGCAAACAAGACCACTGCCTCGGGTGGGTGCTGACAAGACTGGAGCTGAGCAAGAAAGATGTGCCACGGAGAAAACAAACCAGAAGTAAACCTCTGGAGAACGAGTGAGGAAGGAGACACACAATGCTCACAGTGGAGACATGAGCCCCACAGATGTGTCATTCTCTATCCTGCATAATAAAACCCTAGTATGCAAACCGATGGAATGGTGGAACAACCAGTCACACTGGCCACTAGGGGGCAGACGCTCAATGTAGAAGCTGCCCTCCGGTGGTCAGTGCACTCCCGCAGGGGGAACACCACTCAGCCAGAAGCTGGGCTCAGGCTGGTGTGTCACGGCTGGTGAGTGGGCAGCAGAGCCTCTCCCACCTCTGCAGCAGCGCTCAGGACCCCTCGGGGAATGTCTGAGGGCCAGCACACACACATCCCCGAGGGGCCCGGGACTGCAAGAGGGTCCGGGCCAGACCGAGGCGCCCCCCCCCCCTGCAGCCCCGTGCACGAATGTCGTGCGCTGGGCTTTGTGCACAGGGCCTCTAGTGTATGTATAATAAAGTGTTATGGATACATTTTTTATATATATGCCCAGAAGAAACCTACAAACTATTCATGCCAAAACATCTGAAAACTCAAGAAATGGACAATGACTAAATGATGGTAAGCAAAACTTTAAGAAGGAAACCTGAACAGCTTTACAAACCCATTGAAGACAATGAAATCATGATTAAAAATCTGTGCTCAACAGAAATACATACATATGAAATTCATACTGTTGCTAGGAAAATGATAAGACTGACATATACCTTTGATACCAAAATGGACCAGCACAGTAAGGGAAAAAAAGATAAAAGACTAAACTCATTTGTCAACATAGACATTAAAAATTTCAAATATAAGCAAAACAAATCCTGCAGTTTATAAAAACCACATTCATCCTTAAATAGGGCTTATTTTAGGAATGTAAGGATTACTTCCTAATAGAAAAGCCTATCCATTCACAAAAATGCCTACAAAAGTCTAAAATATTTGACCTTACCAAGAACAGGCAAAGGCGATGACAGTAACAAAATGTGGGAAACTAGAGAGCAGAGGGTAAGTTGTATTCGGTAAAACAAAGAGACCCGATAGGAAGCTGAGGGTGGGAAAGCTGAGCGTGAGTGCGGGCAGGGAAAGGTGCAGCAGGCCTGAAAATGCTCAGTGGGGCAGAGCTTCCTGGAGAGGGGGAACAGGAGGGGGACTCAGGAGCCCGGCTTGGAACCCTTCATAAGGAGTCATTTCCTTAGGTCCCCTTCTGGTCCTGCAGGAAGGCGGGAGATTTACTCTGGAAATGCTGAATATAAACTAAAATTCCCAAGGACCAGTGAGGGCTCAGTGCCACTTTGAGAACAGAATCAGTATAAATTTACCAAAATAAAAATGGGACACTGAGCCCTCCTCCATCCTCCAACTCAGCTCCCAGAGGGCCAGAGATCAGGCTTATAAGGGGCACCCCTTAAGACCGCCCCACCCCCATCCCAACACATGGGAGTACTCCTTTGTGGTGAAATTCAAAGAGAGGAAAAGCAGAAAATACTGAATCTGGGATCCCCTCAAATCAATGGGCAGGTCCTTGTCTGATTACCCTAAATTGAAAGTGATGCCCACTATCAATCAGGAAGCCCAGCCCATTGACACAGGGCTTTGAATTAGCATTTCAGTGTCTCAGTCTTAAGAATGGATTTTCATCAGAGTGCCAAGACAACTCAAGGGAAAAGAATAGTCTTTTCAACAAATGGTGCTGGGACAACTGGGTATACACATGTAAAATAATGGAGATGAACCCCTACCTCACAGCACTATAAAAATTAACTCAAAATGAATATGAATCACTGACCTAATTTAAAAGCAAAAACTATAAACTCTTAAAAAACGCAAAGGAGGAAATCTTCATAATGTTGGATGGGGCAAAGATCTTTAGATATAACACAAAAGCACAAGCAGCAAGAGTATAATGGGATAAACTGGACTTCATTAAAATCAAAAACATTTGTCGGGCCAGTGTGGCCCAGTGGTTGACCATAGACCTATGAATCGATTCCTGGTCAGCATTCGATTCCTGGTCAAGGCACATTCCTGGGTTTCAGGCATGAATCCCAGTAGGGGGCATGCAGGAGGCAGCCAATCAATGATTCTCTTTTATCATTGATGTTTCTCTCTCTCCCTCTCCCTTCCTTTCTGAAATCAATAAAAATATGTCTTTAAAAAATTAAAAACATTTGTGCATCAAAATACACTAGAAGAGAATAGATACAAAAACCTAGAGAATGGGAGAACATATTTACAAGTCATATATCTGATAAGGGCCTAGTACACCAAATATATAAAGAACTCTTACAACTCAATGATAAAAAGACCAATAACTGAGCAGACTATTCCCGAAAGACGACATATGAAAATGGCCAATAACCACATGAAAAGACAATAACATTATCAATAACATTAGCCGTTTGGTATGTTACTTCCCACCTACCAGGAAGGCTATAATTAAAAACAGAAAATAAGGGTTGGCCAGAATGTGGAGAAAGTGGAGTTCTCATATACTACCGGTGGGAAACATAAACATGTATATTTACATATATTTTCTTTTTTCATGTACTCCCAAGAGGAAACTACCCAAATGCCCACCAACTGAAGAATGTGTAAACACCATGTGATCTATCCTGAGTGGGATGTGCTTTATCCATAAAGATGAATGAAACACTGACACATGATACAACATGATGAGCCTTGAAAACATTAGGCTCCAGGAAAGAAGGCAGATACAAAAGGCCACATACTGAAAGGTTCCTTTGCTATAAAATGCCCGGAATAGGCAAATCCATAGAGAAAGTAAATTAGTAGTTGCCAGGGGCTGAGGAGTAGAGGGAATGGGGAATAGCTGCTAATGGGTATGGAATTTCTTTTTGGGGTGCTGAAAATTCTGAAGTTGGATGGTGGCAATAGTTGTACAACTCTGTGAATATACTAAAACCCATTTAATAGTGTACCTTAGAAGGGTGAATTTAATGGTATATGGATATTGCAATAAGGCTGTTATTAAAAATTTTTAAATATATTTTATTGATTTTTTACAGAGAGGAGGAGAGAGGGATAGAGAGCTAGAAACGTTGATGAGAGAGAAACATCAACCAGCTGCCTACCAGGGATGTGCCTGCAACCAAGGTACATGCCGTTGACCGGAATCGAACCCGGGACCTTTCAGTCCGCAGACCGACGCTCTACCACTGAGCCAAATCGGTTTCGGCTGTTATTAAAATTTTTAAAAAATATCCAAGTTAAGTAAATTCACTTACTCTTGTGTCAACTCAGTATTGAATGTAAAGAGGTATTGGATAAGTTGAAAACTCTAAACTTATCAATAACAAAATATCCTATGTTTTTGTGTGCATGGTTTTTGCAGACTATTTATATTATGCTATTAATTACAATGAGACATTCTGCATATTGGGGGGAAAAAGATGCTAAGGATCACCAGATATTGAGAAAGTACTACACGTGCAATAAAAACACAAAAAACAATCATTCTATTGTAAAAGAGTAAAATACACCAACTTCAAGATAGTGGTAATATTGTATGGGAGGCAAGAGTAAGTGATAGATGGGAAAGTTTCGTTAGCTATATTTGTAATGGTTTATTTCTTTTTAAAAAAATATTTCAGAATAGCAAAATGCCTATTAATTCTGGATGATTACTAATACATATGTATCTATATTTTTAAAATAATTTGGAAAAGCACATACAAAAAGCAAAGATACCCAACAGAAGAACTAATAATAAAAACCGATCAGACACTGGAAGCAAGAAGAGAGGTAGGATAAGTGAGCTGAAGTTCATAATTCATGCTGTGAGTCCATAGGTATTTCCACTGTTAATCTAGTAGTAGTAGGGTCCGCATATTGTTACTAGCTTATTATGGAGGAAACCTGCAACAGACCTAAAATCAGAAGCAAACCAGGTGGGAAGAAGGGAGTGCTGCTTTTCATTTTAGGTGTGTCTGACCACTTTACATATTATCATGTGTGTGTATTATTTTGAAAAATATATATATTTTTTTAGAAAAAGGGACAAACTGTAATGCCCAAATTGAAGACTACAAAAAATGTCAATATCATTCCTAAAAGAAAGTTTTATATTGGGAATTAAAGCAGTTAGTTTCTGATCTGCAGATGTTTCTAAATGTTTTATTTCAGGTAAGAAAGGAATAGCATTAAAGGACTGTGTACTTTGCTGAGCTTACCCACAGAAACAGTAACGAAGTGATTTACCCTGAAACAATGTTGTAGTTGAGAGCAGGATGGTCTTTTGAGATAGGAGGAACAAGAGGTTCTGGTTGCCACTCTTCAATCAATTCTTCTTTTTCCTACAAGCGAAAAGGTGTTAAAACACACAATGCCAGCTCCTGGACAGTGACAGCAGTATCTACACTGTTTGTTGTAATGGGACCATCATAGTGAACACACTGCTAGAACCAGAGGGCTAGTTGACATTAGAAAAGAAATGAACCACTTTTGAGTTTTGGGCACTTAACCTCCTCACACCTTAGGCAAAATACTTTTTTTCCAAGTAGTTTTGTGGGTGACTAAAAAATTTAAGAAAAATTTATTTCTATAGTCACAAGACAGAAAGCCACACCAGAAATGCTGATGGAGGTGGCCATCATGGGAAGGGATCGACCAGATCACCAAGCACTGTTCCTACAAACCACCTGCAGGAATTCAGGTGTAGCTAAAATACAGGAAAAAACAGCTGTAATTATTGTAATGGGATTTTGTTCGGAATTTCTCACAAAAAGCTACTTTATTCCTTGTATCTGCTACTTTATGCATTATAAGTATTTTGACTATTTTGTGTTTCTTATCCTTTTTTGAATCAGAAAAAAAAAGGTAATTGTGAAAATGTGTCTGGATGTACAGATGAGGCCCCTAAATTAACATGGTGGCCACGGCGACCCTTGCCTTGCAAACAGACCCTCTCCCATTAGTTCTGGTCTCAAACTTCCATTAAATGCTGTTCGTATTTCTCCCGTTAGGCAACTCCAGCGCAAGACCAAAGCATGCTCACCTGATTTTCAGGCACTCAAAAATACTGGCTGCATAATCAACCAATAAATGTCTCAGATGTGAGAAGGCACTCACCACACCCTGCCATTCAGAGCCCCTGGAGGTCTATCTGACTGAGAAGGACACTTCTCACTCACAGCACTGTTTCTTCCTCACACTGCCGGGAGGGTCCAATGTCAGTGATTACCAAATTTCGATTTAGCTAAGTCTGCTTTCAGAGGATTTTCCTAAAACTACTAGAGGCCCAATGCATGAAATGTGTGCAAGAGTACGTAGGCCTTCCTTCTCCCAGCTGCCGGTACCGGCTTCCCTCTGGCACCAGCTTTGTCAGGAAGGTCACCCAGAAGGAAACCTGATCTAATTAGCATATTATGCTTTTATTATTATAGATGTTTACCTATCACTCTTTTTTTTAAAAATGTATAGCCTAAACCAGTTTGGCTCAGTGGATAGAGTGTCGGCTGTGGACTGAAGTGTCCTGGGTTTGATTCCGGTCAGGGGGCATGTACCTTGGTTGCGGGCACAGCCCCAGTAGCGGGTGTGCAAGAGGCAGCTGATCGATGATTCCCTCTCATCGATGTTTCTAACTCTCTATCCCTCTCTCTTCCTCTCTATAAAAAAATCAATAAAATATATATACTTTAAAATGTATATATGTGTGGATTGATATGTTTAAACTAAAACTAAGAATATTTGGATTCATCAAACCCTTTAAAAGTTGGGCTAGAAATCTGTTTCACAGCCACTTAGTCATCCACAAGAAGTTCCTAAATATCAAAGGGAAAAGCATGGAAAGGACTTCTGGCTGCAGGCCCAGACTTACTGCAGTGCTAGAGGAGGAGTGTTCCTCTGTGGCATGATAATCCCACAAAATATTCATCAAAAGGGGCGGGGAAAGGGAGAGATCTGTGGTCAAGTTTAGGGTATTCCTCCAAATAGGGGTTCAAATGTGCACTGGCATATTAAGGATTACAACCATGCAATGAGACATCTCTTTATTCTGCTTCCTCAAGCTGCCAGAACATTCTGCCCTAAAAACATATGCTGCATGTTCCCCAGGGGACAGTATAATATGAATGACCAGGACAGCAGCAGCTGGTCAGGCAAACCAGGGCAGCAACTGCACATGGCTGTTGCAATCCCACTCTCCTGAATTTCCTCCTGGGAGGCCCAGGAAGTAGAGAAAGGCCCAATGCTTCACCTATGCACTGCACTCAATGCTTCCTGCGAACCAAACTTTCAGAGACTTTTGTGGGAAAACATCTCTCCCAATCCCTGCCTCCCACACATCTGGCACAACAATCCCAGTGACAAAAACTATGCTGCAATCAAAACTGTTCTTCCTCCCCGTACTGAGGCAGTCACTAAGTGCTCCTACCCTGTCCCTCATACCAACGGACTGCATGGGCAGTGCCACAGTTCCTCCAGTGTAGGCACTTCTGCTTTCTGAGGTTCACCTGGCTTGGGCTTGAGCTGGGTCCCTTACCACACAGAACACATCAAAATTCAATTTGGGGTGGGGAGGTGGAGAGGGGGGATGAGGATTCTTTCCAACTCACTTTTCTTTATGAAGACCACAGGGAAAACTTTCAGGCTTCAGAAACGGGGCTTTCCCCGACAACTCAGTAACCCTGCCTTTGGAAATGGCAAAATCCAGTAGCTACCCGAGCTTCCCTTTCCTCACCTACTCTAAGGCTGCTGCTTGTCCCTGCAACAGGCTACTCCTCCGGGGGCACTTGGCTCTGCGTTTGCCTGTCCGTATTCCACCACCTTGACTGTCTTACAGTGTAGAAAACACTTCACCACAAATCCTTTCGGGAAAGATGTAGCCACAATCATCATACACCAGATAATAAAATAGAGATTTAATTTCTTACCTTGACTGTAAGATCAGATCGTTCTTGCAATTTGTAAGTTTTAGAGAAAAGAAGTCTGATTATCCAGAGTATTAGAATTCCTTCTAAAATAAGATGGTAAGCAGGAGCCTAAGTGTGAATAAAAAACAGAAGTGAAATGAACACTTGTAAAACCTGCATATAAAATGTAATGCACCTACAAATACTACCCCCTATGACCTTTAACCTGTTACTTTTTAAAATTTACTTTCAAAGCTCCTTTCATTTCTACTCATTGCTTTTCCCGTTTCTAACAGGCAATTTCCTCTACACATAAAAAAAATCTCTAGTATTGTGTTTTAAAAGATCATTAGAAAAAAACTCTTTAAAATAAATCTGACACAGAATCCCAACATGTCAAACAACATCCATTTTGAGAACCTGGCGGTAATTTAAATTTTTACCTAGGAAATGACTGTAACAAACAAGCCTCCTTAGCTACTTCTACCGTGAGTGTGTGTGAGGCAACAAGATCGTTTGGAAACCAGTTTCCACAGCACTGCACATCCTACTACTTTTTTTTTTTTTTTTTTTGGTATTCTTCTGATAGCCCCTTTAAGTTCTTCTTCTAACATGGCAGAATAAAAAACACTTTATAAATGCTGGGATAACAGGTCTTTTTTCTATTGTAGTTCCCCCAAATTGTAGTGTTTTCCACATAAACAGACATAAAGATATCTTAATGAAATTATCCATGTCAGCTTCTTTCAGGAAAAAGCTCAAGGTGACTCCTAACTGCTGTCCAACCAGACACACACAGGGCATGTGGAAGAGTCCACGTATCAATAAACCCCAGGCAGTTACAGGATGCTCCACTCCCATAGTGTGTCACTGGAAAATTTAAAAGAGGTATTTAGAAATGTAAACACAAGTTATTTTCAAACATTAGAAAGTAGTGATGATGAATCATCACAGTTTTAAAAATTTCAGAATGTGGAGATCGGAAAACTGCTGAAAAATTTGTAAGTTTTCAGGTCAATGTACAGATAACTTTCAAATTATAGATTTTGGTACATATACATACACTATTATTTCTTTTTTGGGTGCACTCCACAAGAGTCCTCAAATTCTACATACCAAGTATACAGAAATTGGCAGCAAGAACAGAAATATCTCAAGATGATTTTTTAAAAAATATGCAAATCCTCCTTGAATATAATTCTCTTAAGAATGAGTCTAAATATCCATTTGGTTTTCTCAGTAATCGGATTCTAATAGGCAAACATCTGCCCGTCACTAAACATCCCACTCCACAAAAAGCACACTAATCGTCCAGTGAATTAATAAAATCCACACGTGCAGCTTTCTTTCCTGGAAATGTTACATTCAGAGAGACTTCTCCCAAGTGTCACTCTTGGTCAGTTATGCAATTTTCAAGAAGAGAGCAAAAATAGAAAACAAGAAATTATTCATTTATACAAAAGTAAACATTAAATTTTAGTAGCTCTTATTTTACTATAATGAATCTAATGTTGGACATCAATGATGCCACATCTGCTGTCAACTGCTTTTCATCAAGGCCTGATGAGCCTTGCCAAGGTAGACACCACCATCACCCATGCCACTAAGCAGTGATGTTAAGCTCCAAACAATTGATGTTTGGATGTTAAGCTCCAAAACTGAGATTCACTGTAAATGACTCTGAGCTCTCCATGTTTGCCTGTTTGTTCAAGGCACTAGTCCCAGCGTCTTGATCTGTGTTATCCAAAACCAGGGCCACTAAGTCACCAGGTAATTATTTAACAATACATCTAAATTCACTTAACAAATTTAGTTCCTCAGTTGCAGTAGACACAGTTCAAGTGTCTAATGGCCACATATGGTTAAGAAACAGTTCTGTTGGACACTGCGGTGAAGCTCGATTAAATATGTCAAATGAACGAACATCCTCTAAGACTGACGTTTTGATTTCACGTTATCTAACTTAAGTGAAATAGCTAGCCTTGTCTATTGATAAGCAAATAAGACGTATAAGAATGACAAACTACGTGGATTTCATATTCCTAAATCCTAAGTCATTCGGCTTCTTTTCTAACCTCACGCCCCGAGAAAAGCACACTAAACTCATCACAATTCTCCCCCCTTTTTCCTGCTCCGCAGCCCGGACCTGACTTCCCGGGGCCTCCAGCCGGCCCCTTCCGCTTTCCAGGAGCCACCCGGCCTCCAGGACGCCTCCCCCGGCCCCTCCCACGCCTTCCGGCCCAGCCCCGACCGGACCAAGCGGGCTCCGCGCCCGGAGGCAAACCCGGGCCCTCGGCTCCGCCGCCGGCCCCTCGCCTCTGTCCGCCGCCGGCCCCGCGCGCCCACGGCCCGTCCAGCCCGGACGCCCGGCCCGGCGAGGGCGCCAGGCCGCCGGCCACGAGCCCACGCGCGGGAGTGTCGCGGCGCCCAGGCCGGCCGGGAGTGTCGCGGCGCCCGGACAGCCGCGCTCACCTCGTAGAGCGCCTGCACCATCTCCACCAGGACCCACTGCTCCGCGGCGGTCGCCATCCTCAGCCGCTCGGGCTTCCTTCCGGAAGGCGGGTCTCAGGGACGTCAAACCGCGCGGCGCCGGCCGGTGACGTCAGCGTCTGGGCGGGGCGGCCGGGCGGAGCGCCGCCCCTCGCGCGTGCGCACTGGCGCCGGGGCTGCGGCGGGAGAGGCCCGGGCCTGGCGGCGGGAGGGGCCGGTCGGGGCCGCGGGGAGGGACCGCGGGCTGCCCGGTGTCACGCCCCTTGCTGGGCTGCGGGCGGAGGGAGTAAATACACGGCCCTCGCCCTAGGCCTGCATTTGAGCGCTAGGAGTGATACTAATGGGATTGGAAACCATGATCTTTACTTTTAAATTATGTAAGCAATCACTGACTCAGTAGCTTCAGGGATAGAAACTGTAGATAACCTTTAGAGACTAACCGCTGAGCTCTGCTTCTGTGTCATCGCTATTGCAAGATAGGGCCACATTCCAATGTCCAGCAGGATGTGACTGGGAACCAACCCTGTGGGCTGTCCCCAGTCTTTAGAATTTAGTCTTTAGGATTTAGAATTTAGAACAAAGGAAAATTCCTGTGGTTTGAACCTTTAAAAGGGACTGCCTACCCCTGAAATGGTGCAGTCATTTGGAGTCCACCTGCGTGTGGTGCTCTTGTGGCTGTCCTGGCCAGTCAATAAATCCTTGCCTGCTTTTTTTAATTAATTAATCAGCCTCCGGTGGTCTTATTTTGAACCCAGGGTTCGACCCCACAACACTAACCAGTTTGGCTCAGTGGATGGAACATCGGCCTGCGGACTGAAGCATCCCAGGTTTGATTCTGGTCAAGGATATCTATCTTGGTTGCGGGCACATCCCCAGTAGGGGGTGTGCAAGAGGCAACTGATTGATGTTTCCCTCTCATTAATGTTTCTAACTCTCTATCCCTCTCGCTTCCTCTCTGTAAAAAACAACAACAACAATAAAAATATATATTAAAAAAAGAAGAAGGAGGAGGATAAATGCCTGGGACTAGATTAACCACCATGTGCTTACTTTCTGTCACCTGTTTAATAAGGCCTGGCATGCCCTCTCACCCCTGCAAAGATGTCAGGTTCAGATTACAGCACTTTCTTATTGTAAACAATAACCCTCACCCTCACTCTCGCCCTCATCCACCACCTCACCCTCATCCTACCCCTAGCCCTAACTCTAACACTAATGTTAAAATAACCTTAACCTGACCTGAACCCTAACCCTAACCCTAGTCCTAATCCTAACCCTAAACCTAGCCCTAAACCTAACCCTAACCCTAACCCTAGCTCAAACCCAAACCCTAATTCTAAACCTAACCTTAACCCTAGCTGTAGCCCTAATCATAACCCTATCCCTAAACTTAGCCCTAACCCTAGGGCTAATCTTAACTATAACGCTAACCATACTCTAACCCTAACACTAGGCCTCACCCCAACCTAAACCCTAAACTAACCCTACCCTAAAATCTACCCCTAATTCTGACACTAACCTAACCCTAACCATAATCCTATCCGGAGCCCTAACCCTAATGTTACCTCACCAAGAGATTCCAATTTGCAGACAAGGAACCAGATGCTGACTCTAACACTATCACTCACCTTAGCCTTAGCCCTAACCCTAACACAAGCCCTATCCCTAACCCTAATTCTAACCCTAACCCTAACCCAGCCCTGGCCTTCACCAAAACACTAACTCTGATACTAAACCCTAAACGTAGCAAGAACCTAACCCTAACCCTATCATTAACACGTGTCCTAGCCCTAGCTTTAACCCTAGTCCTAGCCCTAACCCTAACCGTAACAATAGCCTTCACACTAATATTAACCCTATTTCTAATCCTAAACATAACACTAACCATAACTTTAAGCCCAGCTATAACCCTAAACTTAATCCAACCATAAAACCTAACACTAATTCTTGCCCTAGCTTAGCCCTAGCCCTAACCCTAACCCTAACCCTAACCCTAACCCTAACCCTAACCCTAACTCTCCAAGTGATTCCAATGTGCATCCAAGGACCCAGATGCTAACCTTAACCCTAAACCTAACCCTAGCTCTAGTTCTAACCTAAACCCTAACCTTAATTTTAATCCTAATCATGTCCCTAGCTTTGTGCTGAGCCTTTATTTTATAGCCAGAGGTAAAATGGTAGTGCTCACCATAGTTACAATGTTCTTGTGAGTGTCACTTGTTTTGGCAGCACTTGTTGCACCTCTCACAGCCCATTAGCTACCTGGGAAGGATCTAGGGAGCAGCATAAGGTCAAGCTTAATTATGCTAAGAGGGCTCTGCCCGGTGCTTGCACCTGCTTGCCGGCACTTGCGTCACTTGCACCCACTGCCAGTGCTGGAGCTGCCACTTGCACCCACTTCCAGCACCTGGCACTGGCCCTGATCTCTCAGTGCCATCAGCAGGTGCAAGTGGCTGCTGGTCCTGAGCACCCCTCAGGGCTTCTCCACCTCCCCTGCTCCTGAGGGGTGATCAGGGCAGCAGCTGCTTGCAGCCATTGATGGCACCAGCCCTCCTGGCACCTGCTGCTGGCGCTGGCCCCAATTGCCACATGCCTTCAGCCGGTGCGAGCAGGGCAGGCACTGTCAGTGTGTGGGAACGGTGGCAACAGGAGTGGGGCTGCCGGCAGACAGGAGCCTGGGGGCTGCGGTGGGAGAAGTTGATCAGGGGCGTGGAGGATGGGCTGAGGTCCACCCCTGTTTCTACCACAGCCTCTGGCCTACAGTTCCTTTCAAGGTGCACAAATTCATGCTCTGGGCCCCACGTATATGATAATTTTCTTTCTGGGTAGAATGTAACATCATGAAATCTCACTTATAAGTAGAGATCTTATCCTATTAACACATTAAACGCTATGTCAGTCACCGGTGACTGACATTATATTTTTCATCTGGTCCTCATCAGTCACTGGTGCAGCCAGCATATTGGTGAAATCGTATTTTGCAGGCTGAACAAAAAGGAAAACAGGCTTGATGATTAATGTGTTAAAAACAGAAGCAAATACAACCCGTAAGATAAATGAGTACTCCCAAAAGGAGGGACTGGGACATTAGCCTGGAATCTTATCCCACACTAACACAGAACAGCAAAGGACCTTGGGTTCTGAGTGGCACAAAGCCCAAACAGCAGAGACAGAGGTTCCCTGTGTTCATAAAATGGACAATAGTAAACCGAGTCCCCAAAAGATAAGAACTTCCTTAACCAAAGTTACATTACAGACAGGTAAATCTATTACTAGATAAGAATTTTGGGCAGCGGATGCCTTGAGAAGGAGAGCAGGGAGGGTCTCAGCAGCTGCTGGGAAGTTCCTGAAATCCCTGCCATGAGTTCAGCCTGCCACAAGCAGTGGGATATGCCCCATCTTTAAACAAACTAAGCCAAACAACAAAGAGACACAAAACAACAATCAACAGAGACACTCTTATATACAACTAGAGGTCCGGTGCACGAGATTTGTGCATGGGTAGGGTCCCTAGGCCTGGCCAGCAATCAGGGCCGATTGTGGCCTTCTGGCTGCCAGCCAGGGCCTTCCTTCATTCTGCATCACCCCTTGGTGGTCAACACATGTCACATAGCAAGTGATTGCCCAAGGGGACAATTTGCACATTAGGCTTTTATATATAAAGACCAGAGGCCCAGTGCATGAAATTCATGCCCGGGGGTGTGTGTCCCTCAGCCCAGCCTACACCTTCTCCAATCTGGAACTGCTAGCTTCCAACAGTTCACTTGCCTGCCTGCCTGATGGTCCCTACCTGCTACTGCCTGCCAGCCTGATCACTCCCTAACCACTCCCCTGCCAGCCTGATTGACACCTAACTGCTCCCCTGCTACCCAATTGCCCCTAACTGCCCTCCCCTGCCAGCATGGTTGTCCCCAAATGCCCTCCCCTGCAGGCCTGGTACCCACCAACTGCCCTCCCCTCCAGGCCTGGTCCTCCCTACTACCCTCCCCTACAGGCCTGGTCACCCCTAACTGTCCTCCCCTGTAGGCCTGGTCCCCTACCCCCAACTGCCCTCTCCTGCTGGTCTGCTCCCTCTCAACTCCCCTCCCCTGCTGGCCTGGTCACCCCCAACTCCCCTCCCCTGCTGGCCTGGTCACCCCCAACTGCCCTCCTCTGCAGGCCTAGTCCTCCCCAACTGCCCTCCCTTGCAGGCCTGGTTCCTCCTAACTGCCCTCTCCTGCAAGCTTGGTCCCCCTCAACTGCCCTCCACTGCTGGCAATCTTGTGGCAGCCATCTTGTGTCCACCTGGGTGTGGCCATCTTTGACCACATGGGGGCAGCCATCTTGTGAAATGGAGTGATGGTGAATTTGCATATTACCTCTTTATTATATAGAAACACATCCATAGACAAGAGCTTCTCATCATACTTTCTCAAACACTAATCTCCACTTGTCCCAGTTAAGAGGATATTAAATAGCAAGGCCAAGTAGTATTACAGTAAAATACCCTTTTCCTTTTTTTTCATTGGCGGTAAGGGTAATTAGCCCAATATCCCAAAATCCATCAATGGATAGAGCCACCAGCACCAGGCAAACTTACACCAGGCAAAAACCACCCTAACATCCAATATTTACAAGTTTGAACAGCACACAGACAACCGTGTGTAGCTTACCCTGCATAGCCAGACCTTACCCTGCACAGTCATAACTTACCCTGCACAGCTAGACAGAATAACCAGGAGCTGGTCAGGCTCACCCCAGATGGGGGCAAGTGACAACTAACTTCCCCCGTTACAGTTACAGAAGCTGGATTCAATTTGGGTTTTAGGTGGGATGACAGGGATTACTGAAGCTGCAGCTGGGACTCAAAATGGGAAAATTCCTGGAAGCACTGCAAATTAAAGATTCCAGGCCTCACCCCTGGGAACACCCAGTGCGGAGAGCAACAGGTCATCTGTGAGAATAAGCAAGTCATCTTTTCTGTCATAGAACAGTTTAGACAGCTGCCATGTTGGCCGCATGGCTTGCAGCTCTCTGGGGGCTGCCATCTTAAAACAGCAAAGGCCAACCCATCCTTTTGAATTAGCCTATCATGAAAGACTGTGCGCCTGAGCTCCAATTAAGAGCAAAGAACAGATCATGTGCATAAGGGATTATA